CGGGACGGGACGGGGCGCGGAGGAGAGGGGGTGCGCTGGAGCGGCGGTCCTCTCCATCGCCAGTTGCTCGGCGGCGGACTCTCCCAGGTGTCTCTGCCAACTTTTAGTGCTTAGGAAGCCAGGCGCTTTGGAGCATCAGGAACCCCCGAGGCGGCTGTCCCGCTCGCCCCATCCGTGCTCTGCTTGATTCTCGCTTTTATTCATCTCTAGAGCATGGACTTGGCGCGCCTCTGGCTAGGGCTGCTGCTGCCCTTGGTAGCTGCCCTGGATTTCAACTACCACCACCAGGAAGCGATGGAAGCGTTTTTGAAGACGGTTGCTCAAAACTACAGTTCGATCACTCACTTACACAGTATTGGGAAATCTGTGAAAGGTACGACCCTTCTCGTGCACACTGTCCCAAATCCTCCCTTCCATTCATTAAAGATGTCTCGGCCGCTTGTCCCCGCGCCACGCAGCTACTCTGCGGGGTACCAGGCTGCTCCACCCGCGCTCCGTGGGGAGGTGGTGGTCCGCTTTCGTTGGTTGTTTTGGCGGCGTGGGGGGGTGGGGGTAGTCAGAAGACCCTGGGTTTTAACACTTCCATTGTCATTCGGTGCCAATGAGTGTTTTTACATTATTGGAGTTCTGTCTTTAGCGCTCTGGGGAACACTGGTTATCTGGGGGGTCTGTATTTCCGTTCCTTTTCAAGATAAATTACACCCCCCCCCCAGGAAGTCCGTGTATGCATCTCAAGTTTCCCTGTTTTGTTGACTTCTTTAAATATGACTCAGACAATGAGTATCATTTCTTCAAGTCTCTTGGATTAAAATAGTACAGTTCTGTTGGTAAGCTTTATATGGTATATAATTAGCCCTATGATTTAAAGTTTTGTGTGTGTGTGGAGGGGCAGCCTGATTCTAATATTGATTAAAGGCTTTTTTAATGTATTTATTTGGAGAAGACAACTTTCTCATAAGAGATAAACTTTAGACTGAGTGAGTGTTACTGTTCTAGAGTTTTCTTTTTTCTTTTTTTTCTAGCATTTTCATCTAGATCATTTATTTGCTTTAATGTTTTCATTTAGAAATTGAATATATTAAGTAACTCATGATTGTGTACAGGGGATTTGAATCACAGACAAGTTAAATATTTTGGCCAAGATCATCCAGATGGTGAATTTCATAGCCAGGAATGAAACAAGAGTTCACTTCCAGCTTAGACAGTCTGGGGACAAGGCAAATAATTTTTTTCAACTATTGCTATTTCTTAATCTTCTATTATTATATGGTTATACCAAAGAAGTTAGTAGAAAATGTAATGATTCAATCAAAAGGTTTACAAAGTTTATTTGATGTGAATCCCAACTCTTTGTAAAATGTACTCAAACACCACCTCCCCTTTAGCATAGTTTCTGAGCCAACCCGGAGTCTCTTAATGACCAGATTTTAATTCACTTTAAAAGAAAATTATCCTAGTTTGAAAATTAAAGTTGTGTTCCTTAAAATGAAAATTATGTACAATGCAAAATAGAAACTTTGGGCTATGTTTGTAATAGTACCTTTGCTTCTAAATACCATTGCCTAAGCATTGGTGCCAGAATTTCTCTATATTGTTCTATAATCCTAAATTACAGAGGTAGGATGTGTGAGAAATTGCATCCTGATTCAGAATATTTATTCAACCTTTTGAAATAATTTTCCTTTGGGCTAGAGCAGAGCAATTAAAAACTATCTAAGAATAGCAATTATGTTAATAAAGGAAATATACAACACAACTAGCTTGAATTGTTGTTCAGTCATTCAAACCACAAGATGATGAGGATGTTGTTAATTTTATGTACTAAATAATTTGGTAAGGTTTTTTTTTTTATGTTTTCAAAGACAAAGAGCTTGTAAGAGAAAGTTGGGGACTCTTTCCTCATGGGTTCCAGCAATTCTGATCTATCCAGCATATCAAGCCACATTAAGAATGAAAGCCAGGCGGCTAAATTTTATAACTTGTGTGCACTCTTGTGGTTGGTTAAAGGATTGAGGGGTTATCATGTCAAAATCAAACCTGACATAGTGGTTAAATGTTTGTACTGAGTATATAGTTCTGAATAATTACTGGGTTTAAGAAAAATCCCAGGTCTGCCATTAGATCCCAAGTGGTAGGTTAAACTGTATGCTATTAAGTGGCAGTTGGTTGCCAAAATAACACTGCACGTTAGCATGATACTAATCAGGAAATAGTGCTCCATGGAGAATGCTCATTTCAGTAGGGGGAATTTTCCCTAGTCCTCTTGTAGGTAAGTTTGTTTGGCAATTTAGAAGTCACCATATGTATTATTCCTTTTTCTATTAAGAATGTGAGTCATTTTACCCAGAAAGGAAAAGAATGTTCCTTTTTGGTCATGTATTCTTTTAGTTTTTATAAATGCATATCACGCATATTTTTATTGTAATCAGGGAATTATAGCTACTGCATTGTTTTGCTACTGAAAAAGATACAATATATAAATTGTATCTTTTTCATTAGCATTAATTCATTACCTATTTCCTTGAATTGACCAATATGTTAGCATTTCATCATCTTGATCATGTGAATTTGCTTAGTCATTTAACTCAAGCTATATAGTGCTGACTGTCTCTTGTAGTAAAGTTTATAGAGCTTAAATTCTGAGTACCCTGGTTTTCAAAAGGCTATGGATGGCAGTGACTGCCCCAAATCCATTTGCAGTGTCCTCAAATAGCTTAAGCCACCATCGAATTATTTTTAATAACTAAAAAAGGTTGTAAATAGTCTTGCCCTCAGGCAGAATGCCTTGACCAGTGGATTGCCTCCACCCTCCTATGGTCAGCCTAGAGAAGCAGTCTCTCAGGGGCTTGCATGGGTGTGTTCTTGAAGGAGGTCACCCTTTGGGTGACTGTACAGGGGGTGGCACAATTCTGAGTCTCCCCCTGGCTGCCTTGGTTGAAGGCCCTGGACCAGACTTGTAAGTAAGCTCTCTGCCTAACGATGTGTGTGTCCCAATCACACACACATCCAGTTCCTGCTTCTGTAATCCCAATTATACTTATGATGTATTGACCTGCCACCAGTCATACTTTTGGAACTATTTCCTGTGCTGTCCCATGCACTATTTACCCAGCTTCCCAATCGTGAATCCTTGGACGCCATCTGAACCTCATGCTAACGCCTCCCACGTCCGGATGATGTGTCTGTGTCTGTGTGTTGTCTTTTTCTCTTCTAACACTTAATAAATGTTCTCCTTAAATTATATTTGAGATGGGGGTCTCTTTTGTACCATAAAGCACCATAAACAGTAATGCTATAAAACTACTGATAAGTGTCATGAAAATAACTTCCATTCTAATTGGTGAAATGTTCTTTTCAATTTTTCTTTTCCTTTTCAAATTTTTTAATGTTGAAACACACATCAAAGTGGAGCATACCTTTGACCTTCACTTAAACCAGCACCGGTTGCTGGGGAGTAATTCCAACTGGCAATCTCTGTCAGAGTAGAACTGTGTGTCCATAACATTTTCAGTGGTTGGTTGGGGGGAAGCAAATTGCCAGCACTTTCTTCGAAGGCATCTCTGGGTAGCAAAGTTAACTTCTAATCTTTCAGTTAGCAGCCATGTGTACCACCCAGTGGCTTGACCATATCTGCCTGAGCCTTCTGGAAGAAGATGCTACTACCTGGTGACTTGCTAAGGGAAGTCTTAAAGTGAAACAAAGCAAAAGAGAGCTGAGTTGAAAATCAGAATAGGTAGAATGTTCATTTATTTATATTTTCATCCAGTTGAGAAAGCATCTACCTTTTTTAATCCCTAATATTTGGCACACAGCCAATCTAAGTATCTGTTGAATGACTTGAATATTTGTTTTTTGAAAGGCAAATGGGACAAATATATACTACTTTATCCCCTGCCTTCAGGGTGGTCACCTTTCAAATACAAATGGATTTACTGTGGGTTTCCCAGGCCAGTTACTCTGTGCCTACCAACCCCAAATGAGTTCTGAGGCATTTAAAAGGACATTTCCTACTGTCTCTGTTTTAAGAATTTTCTTTTAGCTTGACTTCCTGCCAAATTTAACCTTTATTTTTACCTAAATAAGGAAGGTTGAAAAGGGAAATGGATATTTGAAAATAATGATATCTGATGTGATTGGCTTTATGTGTACTTGGTACTTCAATAGGAGCCCTGGTGTTATAATGGGTTATGTGTTAGACTGCTTTCTCCAAGGTCAGCAGTTCAAAACCACCAGCTGCTCTGTGGGAGAAAAATGAGGTCCAGCTATCACAAAGAATAGCATCTAGGATCTTAAAGGCTTGTCTTAAAAGAAGCTGCCATCTAAGTGAGACGTCAGCTAAATGCACACAGAAGGAGCTCTCCAGCCTGTGTGATCCAGGGATTGTAAAGAATAAAATCCAAAATCACAGGAGGGACTTGCATTTGAGCTTAAATTCTGAGCAAAATGGTTTACAGAAGGCAAACGTGATCACAGTGAGAATGCTCACTCGGATAAAACCACCATTGAATTCCTTCAGACCATTGGCCAGGGATGTGAATTTTGCACCCAGAAAGTCTGCTTTGGAAAGTGTATTACTGCAGATATTTTTACATTAAAATTTAACATTTTATCATTTGTTTTCCCGTTTGACTATTAATTTGTTCTACTTTCTGTTATCTTCTGCTTTCTCTTGGGTTGAGGTTTTTCTGTGTTTTCTTTTATCTCCTCCCCTCTCCCCCCACCCCCCAACCCCCACACCCCCACCCCTGCAGGATAGTGACAGCAACTAGATTAATAGGTCCTTAGGGTTATAGCAGGGGAGATTAGGTGGGGGTGGGGTGGGGTGGGGTGCTGGGGAGCTAATAATAGTGAGTGAAAGAAGAAATTATCCTAAAATTGATTGTGGTATGATTTAAATATCGAGTTGTATGGTGCATGAATTAAATATCAATAAACGAATTTAAAAATAATAAAATAAAACCCAGGCAGTTCCATTTGTCCTATAGGGTTACTATGAGTTAGAATCAACTCAATGGCAATGAGCGAGTGAGAGGTGCTTTAATCCTTTACTTCAAGCTCAGCCACTCAGAGTAGACATTTTCCTGATTTACCAAACAAGCCAAGTGAGTCATTAAATAATTAGATTAAATAATTTGCTAAATATCTCAAAATGAATACGTATGAGAGGGAGGATTCAAACTCAGGTCTACCCGTTTCCAAAGCAGTTAGCTGTCTTCTCTCTGGAGGAGCAGTGTGAAATGTAGCACCGATGAAGACCATTGACCGGGGATGTGAATGTTGCCCCCAGGCAGAGTGCTTTGGAAAGTGTATTACTGGGGGACTAAGTGGAGGGCTTTAGATCTGCTTTGGACACATTTGATCTGAAAGCGTAGC